GAAAGAGAGAAAGAATAGAAATGTTATTAAATATTTTTTTAGTTTTCTTATTTACCTAGGAAAAGAAGTTTTGCCTAAATAGACAGATTTAATATCTAACTTTATAAGTAATCATATATGAGATTAGGAAACGATCATGTATGATTGTACATAATCAGATGTAAAATTTGCCCATATATAAAAGATTTTTTTCTGAGTCATATCATATGTCAAAGTGACTGTGTTGAGGAGATGACTGCTATTTTAGTTTTTTATGGAAACATTTAATAATGTTTTCTATATTGTTTCCATCAGAAAAGCTAACAACAATAATATAATTAATGAATAGCTAATATTACACTAATTCTACAAAGAAAAAAAACAGAAAGTCATTTGAAAGTTACAAAGTTACTCTGGGTTATGACATATAATTTTATTATTAATTCTAATAATTATCTAATATAAAATTTGAAATAAACAGCTGTGTAGAGCTCAATGGATGAGCTCAGGATGTTGTGCAGATAAATGAATGTTTATTTCAAATTTTATATTGGATTTACTTACAACAGAGCCAGAGGTCACACCTCTATATTTTACTTTATCTAATAATTTATATTTCATGAATAAAAGTTTTCATAACCAATGTTACGGTCAAAATTGCCTGAAAAATAGCTATAATTTAAGAACAAGGTTTTTCTTATTAGTTTTAAAATTATGTTTTTTAATTAGTTATCTGATTTATTTTATAATGTTTTAACATTTTAGAAATGATAAATTTTAAAGTTTTTTGATTTTGAAAACTGATATGTAATCTTTTAAATGCAGCATCGCAATTATTAATATCAATGCTAATGTTTTTTCAGGAGATGAGAAGAAGACGTAATGAAGTAACAGTAGAATTACGTAAAAATAAACGTGAAGAGACTTTACAAAAGAGAAGAAATGTACCAATTACAGATTCAACAGGTAAAATTAAAAAATGATTGTTGTTTTGATGATGTTTGTTTACATATACGTGTATGTTTATATATTTAATTTTTTATTTTGTGACAACTCTGTTGTTACATAAAAATTATATTTGTTGTTAGTATTCATTCACACACATAATACTTGTCTTACAACTTCCAGTTTACAAAGTTATTTACATTTATATTTTCTTCACACAAAATAATGAAACTCTCTCAAAAAATACTTTTTATCTTCTATACTACAATATAGTTTGATGTTTGTGTGTGTGTGTGTATGTCTAGGTGTTCAAGATATACTTAACATATTTTTTTCCTTATGACTTCAATCTTTTGCAAAGTTGACATATCTCCATTATATTTGTTTATATTTTTAATATATACTTTTTAATTTCTTATATTCACATATAATATTTCTTTTTCTTATATGAGACAATCAGAATCTGGTGTATCAGCTGTTATAATGCTAGCACTGCTAGTGCTGTGATTTTGTTGTTTTGTTTAATCATCATTGTGTTATTTCTAAATCTCTTCTGTATAAAATATTAGAAATATTACATTAAGCAAATTTACAGATTACACTTTCACATCAACAAAGTGCACATAAATGATAAACATTTATAATATTAATATATAATATATATATATATTATTCTTATGAACATACAGATGAAGATGACATGGATAAACATCTTTCAAAAATGAATTTGGACGATTTAGTAGCAAGAGCTAATAGTTCAGATCCAGCAGTACAGTTACTAGCTGTACAATCAGCGAGAAAACTGTTATCTTCAGATCGTAATCCTCCCATCGACCCATTGATAGAAAGTGGTATTTTACCAATTTTGGTTCGTTGTCTTGAACAGCATAACAAGTAAGAAAACTTTTTTTTGAAAATTATATCAATTATATATATATATATATATATATATATATATATATATATATCTTTGTATATCATATCCATGTATAATTTTTTTGTTAAAAGTGTATATATACACGTTTAACAATATATAACACATACAATATTATTGTCCTAGTCCATCGTTACAATTTGAAGCAGCTTGGGCTTTAACAAATATTGCAAGCGGAACATCAGCTCAAACACAGGCTGTAGTTACTGCTGGTGCAGTTCCACTTTTTCTTCATTTGTTGCTTTCAAGCCAACAAAATGTATGTGAACAAGCTGTGTGGGCCTTAGGTGTGTATAATATCAAAAATTTATATACATTTACGTATAAATAATATATTAATTTTTTTGATATATGATTGACAATTTTAATTGACTTATGTTTACGTTCATGTTACGTGACGACTCTCGGTCGTCAGATAGCATTACGCAGCGGACAACTGCAATATTAAAGAAGTTAAAAATTATAATGTATATTTGTAGGTAACATTATTGGGGATGGTCCAGTACCTAGAGATTATGTTATTAATCTTGGTGTTGTACAACCGTTGCTAACATTTATAAAGCCGGATATACCTATTTCATTTTTACGTAATGTTACATGGGTCATTGTAAACTTATGTAGGAATAAAGATCCACCACCACCAATGCAAACCATAAAGGACATTTTGCCTGCTCTAAATATGCTTATTTATCATAATGACATTAATGTGAGTATTAAAATCTAAATAAAGAAATAAAGTCAATAATTGTTTTATGAAACTATAAGAAAATCATTTAAAAGATAAGATAGCATAGTAATTTTTATTATAATTTAATAATCTGTATATTATCTTCTAATTAACACAATTAACCATATAAATGATATTTTATTAACTATATAAAAACAATTTTATTGACTTGATTTTTACTTTAGTATCTAAAAAATGATTAACAAATTACTAAATTTTAATACGGTTCTCTTTTTTTTAAATATAAGAATATAATTGTTGTTTTTTTTAATGTATAGATTCTTGTTGACACTGTATGGGCCTTGAGTTACCTGACTGATGGTGGTAATGAGCAAATTCAAATGGTTATAGACAGTGGTGTTGTACCTCGCTTAATACCGCTTCTTTCGCACAAAGAAGTTAAAGTGCAAACTGCTGCTCTTAGAGCAGTTGGCAACATTGTAACTGGCACGGACGAGCAAACGCAAACTGTTTTAAATTGTGACGCTCTTTCGCATTTTGCTAATTTGTTGACTCATCCTAAAGAGAAAATTTGTAAAGAAGCAGTTTGGTTTCTTTCTAATATTACCGCTGGCAACCAATCTCAAGTTCAAGCTGTAATAGATGCAAAATTGTTACCTCTCATTATTCGTAATTTAGCAAAGGTAAAGAAAATTTTTATACGAACAAACTATATGTTTGTATTTTGGAGATTGTTACATGAAATATCGTATATATTTTTGTTTCCCAGGGTGAATTCCAAACACAGAAAGAAGCAGCATGGGCGATTAGCAACCTCACAATAAGCGGTAATAGAGAACAAGTCGCGGAGCTTATAAGAGAAGGAGTAATTGCTCCATTTTGTGAACTTTTATCTTGTAAGGATACTCAAGTTGTACAGGTGGTGTTGGATGGAATCCATAACATGCTTAAACTCGCTGGGCCAGAAGTGGATCATTTGGCAAATATGATTGAAGAATGTAATGGTTAGTATTTTATTCTGGATAATAAACTTTGTCTTTTATTTTCTTCATGTGTGTGTTTAATCAAGAACAGATATTGTAATAATAAAAATTTATGTTTAATTAAACGTTTTCTTATTTACAGGTCTGGACAAAATAGAAGCACTGCAAAATCATGAAAATGTAGATATTTACAAACTAGCGTATGACATAATCGAGCAATATTTTTCAGAGGAGGTAAAGTATTTTTTCATGTTTCCTTTCTTTCATTCATAATTTTTAATATAAAGTATTAAACCTTTTTTTATCATACGCATAATTTCACTAATAATTTATATAATTCTAATTTGCTTTATTAAATAAAGTATTTAAAAACAAGACAAAAAGATTTAATTCTTATTTATAAATCATCAATTTCAGGTGGATGATGCACCACATGAAGGAGCTTTTGAATTTGATCAAACGACGAATATTCCAAACGAAGGTTTTAAATTCTGAGGAAGCCTCCAGCTACATGTATCTTCTTTTTATCCGATTGTGCCGTCCCCTGATAAACTCCGATGCGGAATCATCATTTTGCTTTCTTTTTCCTGTTTCTACATCACCCTCGTGCTCCAATGAAGACATAGCAATATGAACTTACCGCTGAATTATTGATTATTATTATGTTTGCTGATCTAAACATACAGTGTGATTTATTGACCACGTTCGAAATATCGGAACCAATTAGGGAAAGAAGGCTAATTACAGAATGGAACTGTAGTAACCATAAAAAAGGGCATTTTTGTGATTTGATCTTTGTGTACTTCGCAATTTCTTTCCTCATTTTTATAAATATATGTATATTATTTCTTTTACAAAATACATGAGATAAATGTATTAGCAAAATTCTTAGTCAAAGAGCAATTAGCAAGACACACAAATGCATGTAAAAAAAACTTTGCGTTTATGCATATGTGCAAATATGCATTTATGCGTATTTGAATGTGTATAAAAAAAAGATTACTGAAAAAAAATTCACGGAAAAGAATAACCTTTCTATTGCTTGAACATGCTACTCTCCACTCTAACTCAGGACAAGTCTTGGTTAGCGATATTACTTTTATAAAATAATTCATGTATATTTTAGGCATGTTAAATTTATATATAATGATATATTGATTACTAAATAAATAAATCAACTGACTACTCTTTGATAGCATAATTGTAAGTATGGACATTTCTGTAAGGAGGAGCAGAAAACTAATAAAATTTCAATATGAATTCGGCACAATTTTAGCTGTTAATCGATAATTTTATCTTGACTGTAAATACATGAAATTATAAAAGTCTCGAATGTGCCTCTTCTGATCCTTAGTCTTCACAAACTTTATATTTACTAACTAGTACACTAGATAAAGAAAAAAAGATGTTAATGCAAACAAACAAATCTTATCTGATATAAAGTTTTATTATTTACTATTATACAAATATACATGTATAGAATTAAGATTCTTCTTTAAATTCTATCGTAGGATCTTCAAACCGATGTACGTCGTCCGCGTACATCTCTTCTGGAAGCGATTCTTCCATGATAGTTGGTAAATAAGTAGGGAAATTCGGCGCTGTTTTATGTCGCCTCAAAGGAAGCTGTGTATCATACAAGTGACAGTAAGTACCGATTTCTCCAGGTATATTATGTCCCCTAACCCAAATCACGTTATATTTCGTATTTATTCGTAGAATCTATAAAAAGTACATTTATTAGATCAGTAATTTTTAACATTTAAAACATACAAATATGTATATAGATACATAAGAATTTAATAAATATAAGAAAACAAACTAGATTTCGAATTATCACAAATTGTTTTTATCAACGTTTTGTGTGTGTAAAAACTTGAATCTTACCTGAACACCTCTGAGTATTCGCCATTTATTACCCATATGTCCAGGCATTTTAGTGCCAGGCATAACTCGAGCTTTTTTACCGCCTGATCCGATATTTCCAGGTCTTCTGTGAGTTTTGGTTACACCATGAGTGGCGGGCATTCCTTTAAAACCCCATCGTTTCATCACACCTTGGAAACCACGATCTATACTAATGAGATTTAAAAATTTAAATATTTTGTAAACATTGCTGAATACTAGTTCCACTTCTTCTTTCACAGAAGAAATTTTTTTTTGCGACAAATACAAAAATTGTTTACGTTTTTCCGTAGATGTCGACGACTTCTCCTGGTTTAAAATGTGCAGCAAATAGAGGAGTACCCGGTTGTAGCGCTGCTTCCGGGGTTATCATAAACCTTCGTAAAATACGTTTTGGCATAACTCCGGCTTCAGTGAAAATACCATAATATTCTTTAGTGAGCTAAACAGATATTAAGTCATTTATTTAAGCAGAGTTGATTACTGACAAATTTTAAACAGCAAAAACATGATAAAATGGATTGCTGAGATCCAAACGTTACAACATTTATACATAGAATGTCCAGAATTTTTGAGAGAAATGGTCATTTGAATCGCTAAGATTTGAATTTTTCTTTGAACGTAAGGAGGGGGGGGGTTGTGCAGTACTCTGCTACCACGCGATACTCAGCCGTTTTTCACAGTAGGCATGCCTATCTGTGTCGGGCTCGTGCTCAAGATGTGACTTGTGATCGCCTTGTGGGAGGGGAATTAATTCGGGATTACACCCGAATTAATTTTTGGAGGCTCGATTTAGTTCGCCGATCAACCGATAAACTCGGTTGAAGGGGATCGGCCCGGAAAAAAATCCTTGGGTGGTAGTATAAGCGGATTCTCGAACTCGAGACCTCCGGGTTCGCAAATCCTTGCACTCAGGCTGCAAGACCACCGGGCCGGTCTAAACAGCGAAATAATATTTGAATATGTAATATTCAATTTTTCAAGAGCATACCAATTGCGGATCTATATTTTCTGCTCCTACTACGAGACAACCAAGTCTTCTTTTTATTTGTATTGGACGTGGCTTACGACTTTTCACTGGATAAAATTTTTCTGGTGGTATATATTTTACTACTTCATTATCAACAATCTGAGAAAAATATAGAACATGACACATAAGATATAAAGAATGTGTGACATAAGAAACAATATATAAAAATAAAAACATTGTTTATTGAAGATAGTAAGCTGTCATTTTACCTGTAGTAGTGTGCTATAAACTTTTTTCCCATTTTTAAGCCACATTGGGTAAACTCCTATTTTTTTTGCAATTAAACCAGTGCGTCTCATCTTACTTGTCCATTTAGTAACAGGCTCGATTGGATCTATTTTTAGAGGAGAAATTTTTGTTCCAAATCCAGTAGACAAACCATATTCATTTTGAACTACTTCCTCAAGAAAACTCTTATTCTCTTTTGTTAAATATTCGTCATATTTCTACAAGGAAGTTTGTTAATGCTCTTTTTATATATTTAACATGATTTATAATTATTAATTTGCTAGTACGTAAAATTAAATTAGTATACTTAATTAGTAATATTTATATATATATGCTAGATACATACAACATGTTGTACTTTAGGGAGCCATTCTGGAGGACGATATTTAGTTCTAATAGATGGTATATATCTTTTTTGATTTGGAACACTAATTCCAAAGTGAGAAAGAGGTACGATAGTAATTCTAGAAATTAAAAAAAAAACAAATTACTATAAATGTTTATATAAATCCGTTTCTCTTTTAATAACGTGTCTTTATGATTCTGCATAATTTTAGTAACGACATACATTTTCCAAAACTGCTACACATTTTTTTACTAAACGTACAATTTTACGTTTTTAATCGTGTAATTTTGAATTTGTGTATATTTCGCATTATTGGAAATTTTGTTCACAAAAACACGAAGGCAAATTTCAAAAGCATAAAAAAAAAATATGTTTGTCTGTCACAATAACACACCGCACTATGTTAGTGTGAAAAATGTCTGCATAGCATACCTTTGTTTTAAACAGTTTTGAAAAAATTGAAAACTGCTAATGGTTTTCAAAAGTGATGCCATTGTCTATATTGTTTTCTCACAATAATTCTAAAAATCAGACATAGATAATCTAACCTACTTCCTACAGCCTCATTGCACGCAGAAAGCGTTGTTGAAGTTTCTAACCTGACCTCTAAGGCTGTGTTCCGATTCTCCACCCGAGTGTCATTTTATCTTTGTTTCACATCTAGTGAGTGACAAAGATAAAGTATACCCGAGTGAGGAATCGGAACATAGTTCTGAACAGGTCCTGAAGTGCAGGATTATGAGGCGCCAGATCGTTTAAGTTTGAAAGCGAACTTCGACTTTTTTGTATTAAACACTTTTGAAACATAAATTGTTTAAATTTATCTAAAGATTCGTGACATCATTCTTTTATATAAGAAATCTCTATAAAGATACATATTTAATTTGTACATACAAATAGACTTCTTTTGAAGCAAATATGTAAAATCAAACATTTACACACACTGTAACTTTTTGTTACTTCTTTATATTTTTGATAAAAAGTTTTTGTGCAAACTTGTAGATTAAAATGCGTATTTTAATCGTATACAATAAATCTTTCAGTCTCTGTACAACCCAAATATTGTATTGCGCAAAGAATAATTTTATTACAAGAGTCACACCTCACGTATTTGATCGATAAAAATGTGATTTCATAATCTTTTCAATAACAATTTACATAATTTATAACTTATATATAAAGTAACATACTGAAGCCTCTTGCACAATGCGAGGGAATAGTGATAGCGATAAGCAATAGACACAGAATTCCAACTCGTCGGAAATTTTATCGCTATTGCTTATTCTGATTTTCTGATCTGCATTGATATATGTGTATTTTTGTATGTTAGATTTCGCTGTTCCAATTGTTATTTATAAATATAAACTCTTTAAAACTGATGTTATTTCTATCGCTATCGCTATTTCTTCCATTGTGCAAGAGGCTTGATTATTCTAAATATTTTGTGTGTGTAGAATATAAAAGAACAGAGACCAATCACAAGACAGCAAGCGCGATGCTACATCTCAACTGTCAAGTCCGTTGAACGCAGCCATTGTGCGCACCGGTCTGTCAGGCTGCTATTCGAAAGGGGCGCTCGATTGTTACGCGCAACAGAGAAGCGGCGCGCGTCCCGCTATCGACCAGAGAGAATCTGGTCCTTCTTCTCGCCCAGTCTCGGGTGATCACGACGTCCGCATAAGCTTTCGGTTGAATTTCAACTCGTCGAAACACGGCTACGTTTCTGCCAAAATATTTCTGAGTTCTTTTTTTGCTACGCGTGGCAATTTCTTCCGCACGATCACGATGAACCGAACACGCGATAGCACATTGATTTGTATCTACACACTTTTCTTAAGTAAATGAATTATTCGAATTCTTCGAATTTGTACGTTGCTTTTTGACGAGAATGCGGATTCTATATGGAATGAACGCAAACAAAAAGTGTCGGATATCAACGCGATATTGATCATTAACGAAACATGATATATGTGTATCTCTGATAAATAGAACATGACATTTTCTCTGCTTGCTGAAAATCGCACCACGTGAGAAAGTTTAGAAGTTCTCCAGTTGTTGTCATGAGACAGACATACGACGATTCTTGTGAACATGCATCGTGTTCATCATTCATCGTACACGTCATTGTTGCATGATGGATTTCTGAAAACAGCTGTTTATGAAAGTTCTACTTCTTGAAGTCCACATGCGCGAAGATACGAGACTCGACCGAATGTACGTACATATATATCTTTCCCTTTTGAGTTCCCGTTTATTAGCGTATATTAAACATGCAAGTATTTGTAACAAATTGAAAACTAAAGTTGTCTTAAAAACAAAATTCAAGTCAAATTTAAGTTGGTCTAGAACAGAATATAATATGCTTAGAACTAAAACTATACGCTTTTACACTACAATCGCTTTTATTTAATAATTATACATTATTTGGTTTGAAATATATTTCACAGAGATTTTGTTAATGTTTTACTTGTAAATATTTTGAAAAATTTGTCGATCAAATTGAGATATCGCGCAAACAAATAATAATAATAATATAAAATATTCACGATAAAACTTGTTGATTTTGTACATTTGCAAACTCTTTAACTGAAATTCTTATTCGGAGTACTTTTGTAAAGAGTTGTGGTGATAATTTTTTTCTTTTTCCTTCCAAAAAAATTATTAAAATATATCTTAATTTACTCTTAAAATAACTGTTGTTTCAGGAATACAGTCGATAGACACACGTCGTCTGAAAATGTGCTGCACATTATCAAGCATAACACGCAACCAAATAGATCTAGAAAGAAAATAAAAATGAAGCAATAGAATAGTATTGAGAAGTAAATCCAGAAGGAACACACACATTTGCCAATAAGATTACCACGCTAGATAAGATTTATAAGACGTTTCGTATTTTTTACATGTTACTATCTCAGTTAGTCCGCTGTCGTTGGAAGAGGTACGCAGCAATGCAAAAATATAATTGCAAATTGGAATAAAAGAAATCCCTATATTTTTTCATGGATTCTCAAATTTATGCGATTCAGAGTGCTTACAGTTATTTTAAGTACATATACACGACGAATTTCTACAAGTTCAACATCTTTAGAAAAAAAGAAATAATTCACGGTCTACTAACGATCAACTAACAAACAAATATACAGAATTTTATACACTCACACACACATGAAGAGAAGTTCGATAAAATAATGTGCAATATGAACAATTATAAATCGAGTCGAGTAACAAAGACGATAGCCGCAGCCATTAGAAAGAATAGCCTGCAAGCGCGTTACTGTTAACTATATATATGTATGTGTGTCCTTCAAGAGATAGGAACAAAAGTTGTAGCGATTAAACCGAAACGCCCCTAATATCCGCAACGTTCGTATGAACTGTTGATAATATTCGTTATATATATGCCATCAAAACGACCGCAGTGCGTTTTAGTCAACGAAAAAAGTTCTCCGGGTCTACGTGACGACTTATATTACGTCGGTGGCCGGATTGTATTACGCTGGAAAATATAGTTTTTTTTTTTTTTTTTTTTTTTTTTTTCTATAATTTCACATTATCTAGTGATCATGCGTAAAATTTTCATGGACTATACAAACATATTACAAATCCATAGAAGAAAAATCTGCTTAAAAAACCAAAAACAGGAAACTTTTGCCAATCGTCAGTTTGGCATACAACATATCACAGCAACATACAAACATATTACAAATCCATAGAAGAAAACCAAAAACAGGAAACTTTTGCCAATCGTCAGTTTGGCATACAACATATTACATACAAACATATCACAGCATACAAACATATCACAAATCCATAGAAGAAAAATTTGCTAAAAAAACCAAAAACAGGAACTTTTGCCAATCGTCAGTTTGTTCGGATAGACGATCATCAAATTGATTTAAACAAAAGCGACGCAATTAAGCCAACAATTCTGTGCTTTGATTATCAATCAGTACGTATACATGTTTGCGCATTTTGCGTAACAAGCCAACATATTGTGCACTATGTTCGAGAGATGCTTTAACTCTCTTGTATAAATATTAATTATATAACACAATAAAACATTTACGAAGTTCAGTATTGTGTTTATAGAAAAATACAAGAAATATTGCACACACAAAATGTTTGATTATTTCAAAAAACGATAAAACATAAAAGGACCAAGAATTGCTCAAATATTTTATCACGTAGACTGTTGTGAAAAAATTCCATTTGAAAATGTTAAACGAACATTAATGTAAAAAAAATAAAAAAAAAAAAAAAAGAAATAGAAAGAATATTAACACAATCTTCTTATATGATGCGTGATGATGTATTTTAAACAACAACGAAAGAACGAATCAATCCGTAAATTTCAATGTAGGTCAGTATCAGCAAAACAGATATAAATCGCATGTGATATCGATATTCTGTTATCGGTATTGCTATTACGGAACGAACTCGACAGAATGTATATTTCGATAGTGTTATCCTATCTTAAACGTACGAAACGACTTGAAACTCACGGAACCGCTCTGTTATGTGTGAACACCATTCTCACGAAGAGGTAAAATAATAACGTTTTGTTTTATCTGTTGCAAAAAAACAATTTCTATCTGTATTGTATGCTTTTCATAACTATTGTATTATTTTTTTTTTTTTTTTTACTTATTATATTTTACTATTATATTATTTTGCCTATTATATTAGTTACCTGTTATTATGTTATTATTATATAATCTTGGTTTGTATATTTTATTTTGATAGCACAATAAAATATACCATCAGCAAACTGAATGTATAAGACGTAAAATAAATAAAATAATACGAACTTTATATACTTATGTATACCTTCGGGTAAGCGAATTGCTAACAATTTGCAAAACAGATTGGCTACAAATTCGAACAGAATGCTATAACAAATCAGTGGTCGTCTGTAAGAGACAGTCTTACGAGAAGCGATTGAACTATTCGAAACGACGCACAAATAGCGAAAATAGTATCACATCCTTCACAGAAGAACAAATGTCAAACACACACTAACTCATTATAGCACATAATATTTATGCGAGAGCTTGCCAAAGTAAACACTCTCTGTGATTCGAGACACAATGCATCACACTTCAACAACTCGTTTCAACTGTTGCGGTCAAAACTTACGAGTTGCTGCCGGATCCGCTGTATGTGGCGAATTTGAAAAAAATAACTCGAAAATAAATTTTCGAACAATAAAAGTCGCGCTATCGAAAAACGCTAATCAAAAGTGAGATAAAAAGATAAAAGGCGATTACTTATCTTGACAAATTAACACATTTTGTGATTCGATGAAATCTTTATTCTCTTTCGCTTTGAATATTTATCAATTGCTCCTTCGTATATTTTGTCAACAGATCTGTTATCATCATCATTATCATTATTGTCGATAAATTGGAAATCAATCCTAAGTTTTTTCTGATTAGATCTGTCTCAGTTAAAGTGTCGCTGTAAGACGTCATTACATTTTATTATTTCGACAGATCTGTCCCCGGTTTCCGCTTGAAATCTAACGTCATCCGCGCGTTTGGCAGTTTATTTGATGTTGTATTCATTTATAAGTGTAATTTGATTTTATTTGATTTTATTATCACGTAGTAGTTATACCTTGAAAGATAAATTTATGTGCAAAAATTTACTCGTTCTTTTCGCAGGCACTTTTTCGCGGAAGTAAAACACTTGTCGACGATGAGTGTGGATCTGCCACGGCATTAATCAATGCCAGAATACAAAAGGGTGGTCTACGACTGCGAAGATGGCTAATCGCGCTTCTAATTTTTTTATTAATGTCACTTTACATTATCAACAGTTACAACACCGGCCAATTTCGAATCATGCGCTTCGGAGGAAACGCCAAAATAGACGCTCAAAGTGTAGTTACACGTAAGTTAAGATTACTAATATTAGATAATTTTCTAGTCGGGAAATTGTTTTTCTTGCTTCGTAAATTAAATATAAGTTCAAATATAAATATAGTGAAGATATGAGGATGTCACCTCAGGCTCTTTTCAAATTTACAGTTGAATTGGAATAACGGCAATATTGAGCCAGTGCAGGATGTTGTGCAATAAATAAATGTACTACAAAGTGGTTTTTAACAAAACGTTTCGGCTATATTTTAAGCCCTTATCAATTGCATCTTAAATACTAATGTTTAAAAAAGTGGTAGTCACATATCAAACAATAAAAAAAGATAATAATCAGTATCAAATACAAGTCGTACTTGCTAGAACGTAAAATCGATACTTCACAAATATAAATTTTTCAATCTAATTTATAATTTATCTAAAGAAAACTGGCGAATTATAATGTTACAATATGAATGTATCAGATATACAAATTAATTTACGATCATTTTAGAATATTATTGGAAGTTTAATAGATTTCTCGCTCTACTCTCTGCAGGATTTTGTTTATATTTCCTTTCTCGTGTATTTTCGCGTTTATAATTACTAATTTGCAAATTTTACAGACGATTATGTATCGCTATCAGCAAACATGTACGTACGTCAAAGCGTATCATACACATCGATAGGTAGCGGCGGTTTTCTAGTTTACAATAAAGGATGCCGATTACCAGCGATGGATCCTTTTGATCCTGCAATTCAACGTTTTATGACGCATGAAAAGCCGTATGAATGCGAGCATGGAAACTCACCACCACTCATTGAATCGAACAACACCGCATTATTTGTTAATCCGCTGGTGTGGAACGAATTTCACAATGGTTCGGAGAGCATAAGTTGTTGCTGGCGACCGTTCTGGAGAAAGAAGGATAGCGATAATGCTGTTACGTCAGTATTATCGAGAATTTGTATATAAAAATTTCCTAAGATTTGTTTCCAAACGTCAATTGTTTGTTTTTCGTCAATGTATAAATTCTAAAATAAACTTGCTTACAAGAGTATACTAACAATGTGTATCTACTATTGTTTGTAGATACAGCACGCAGTGCCATCCTTTTCAAGAGTCTTGCGTTGTGAACGACGAGTTCGTAAAAGTCGAGTGTTCCCGTAATGGCGAAGTTATCTACAAAGATTATTACGTTTTTCTACCTCGTAAATCTTCGGTGGAGAAGAGATGCAAACAGGCTGCGAGCACGGATATGCACGCCAACGACCGCCTTAGTATTCTTGTAATGGGACTTGATTCGGTTTCCAGAATGAACTTCTACAGAATGATGCCTAAGACCGTAAAAGCGCTTCAGTCTCTCGGTGCTGTGGAGATGTTAGGCTACACTAAAGTTGCCGACAACACGTATCCGAATCTTGTTCCGGTATTGAGCGGTTTGAGTCAGGAAGAGTTGCAAAATCTTTGCTGGCAGACGTCTGACAAGACTTTCGACAACTGTCCCTTCTTGTGGAAGAAATTCAAGGTCGCTGGTTATCGCACGGTGTTTGGCGAAGACGCATGCAGCATGACTACATTTAACTACTTGAAACCAGGATTTCGGGAACCGCCAACAGATTATTATCTAAGACCGTACTGCGTCGGTGCCGAGAACGACATCGGCAACACTCACAAACTGAACGCTAATCTTTGCTACGGTAGCAGGAAGACATTCGAATGTATTCTGGATTACACTCGTAAAACGGCGATTGAGTTCTCCTCAGAACCTTACTTTGCCTTCATTTGGCAAGCCAGCCTCACTCACGACTTTTTTACATATCCGCAGTTCGGTGACAATTCGTATTCCAAGTTGATCAAGTACATGTCAGAGGAAAGTTTACTAAATCGCACGATTTTGATCGTAATGAGCGATCATGGGATAAGATGGGGTGACTTCCGACAAACATATCAGGGAAGGATCGAAGAGAGTTTGCCCTTCGTATTCATCGTGTTACCAAAGTGGTGGCGAGACAAATTTCCTTTAGCCTGGGGTAACTTGCGAAGAAACAGCCACAGCCTCACGACGCCCTTTGACCTGCACGAAACTTTGAAAGATCTGCTGAATCCGTACATCCTACGCGAATCGTTTCTCAAAAAACGTATCAAAGTTCAAGCTACGGCTCCCATTTCTCGCGGCATCAGTTGGTTCCTTTCTGTGCCGGACGCTCGTAACTGCGACATGGCGCAAATAGCGAATCACTGGTGCATGTGCCATACCAGCAACGCCGTCTCGTTGAACGACACCGCTCTTCAGGACAATGTGCAGTTTCTCGTGAATGAACTCAACGACATGTTGAGAAAATATCCGATGTGCGCAAATCTGAGTTTGAAACAGATAAAAGACGCAAAGCTATGGGTGGACAAGACGGATAGCTCCACATTGATGGACTATACAGTGACTATACAGACTACACCGGGTGACGCGATCTTCGAGAGCACAATACGTTACAAAGCGGATGACAATAGCCGCAAACTAGTCGGATCGGTCAGTAGGTTGAATACTTACGGCACTCAGAGCGCCTGTGTTGACGAGTTTAACATGCGCCTGTATTGCTACTGCCTTTAAAAAGACACAACATATCTGATATGTGTAATTATATCAAAGAATATATATACACAACTAATCAGAGTGATAATTTTTGTATCTTATAAGTTGTAAGCTGTTTGAATACCGAATACGGTCGCGTGGCACTTGTGTTTCATGTCAAAAAATTGCTACAAGCGCGCTCGTTTTTTTTTAATTTTCTTTTACATAAATAAATTGCTCTAACAAAACTTTAAAATAAGATTTATTATTAAGAAGTTTTGTTTAAAAATAAAAATAAAAGAAAACGCTTTCTAATTTAGTGAGATTTAAATTCTGACATATGGAAGCGCTTGCTAGCATTCTCCTTGCGAGAGGAGAAACGAACAGAAGACAAATAGAGCGATTGCGGCTGCTTCAGAATGAGCAGCTTGATGTTCCGGCATTCAAACAGCAACTAAATTAAGCAAGAGCCTGTATTTTCCAATGAATTGGAATATATTAAGAAGATTCTTGAAACAACACCATATATAATGTAAAAAGTATTTTGACAGAACCCATTTAATTGCTTAGAAGATAAACGGCTTTTACTTGTATCTTTTCGAGGAAAACAAACTTCCTGTATAAGCGAAGATAAATCATTTTAATGCGTACGTGAAGGAACCAACAATTAAACTAACAATTATGTGTTTCAAAATTACTGTGTTTTATATGAACTTTTATTATTACATCGCGAAAACTACTTAATACTACTCATTTATCTATATCCCTTTAAATAATTTCACGCTTAATTTATTCACATGTTAGTACATTTTATTGTAGTCAATAAAGACGCATGTTGATTGAGAGTTGTGCGGAGAGTGTGTGACCTTTATTACGTGACAAATAAATATGCCGAAACATTTCAAAGTTACGTACGTACGTCAAATACGCATGTATAATGTCAAATACGCTTGTATATAGTTAATGACATGTCTATCTTTTTCAATGAAAAAAAAATTAAAAATTTATATTTTAGTCTTTTACAATCGAAATATATTGGCAAGACAGTTCTTATAAGCTAAATCAGAACCTCCCTATAAGCGCATAATATTATTTCATATCAAGTAATGTATTCTGAGCACATTTTTGGAATATTAAACGTAACTATTAATATTCATAGAATATTCTAGAATATTCTAAGAATATATTGTGCGCTTATAGGGCTGTAGCATTTCCAATAGATAAAAATTGACAAGGTTCTTGAAGCACAATACTACGTAATGTAAGAGTTGCATACATCTTACAATTAGTAGTTTTCAAAATAAAACGTTGTCAACGTTTACAAACTATTATGTAACGACATCAATATTTGGTGTGTGTGTGTGTGTTCACAATTCACCAATTATACACAAATAAAAGATATTTTATTATTCTTTTTGAATGTGTTTCATCGCAACCATTCTTTCACATTCACATAGTAATGAACTTAATTAATCAATTTGTTAATTGTCAGATTCTTATTTTTTAGAAAACTCGGGAAAATGGTTTAGGAACTTTTAAAACATGTTTTATATATATGCAACATTAAAATTTGTTTAAATTAATAATAAAACGTATAATCCTTATTTTATACAGTTAATTTATAAAAATGCCACATATATATAAATTTATATTTTGGATATATATTTTAAAAAAAAAAAAAAAAAATCAACTACAAATATATTGTAGTTTATTGTACAAATGTAATACATATGTTTATTAATTTTATCATGACTTTAGTTTTCATCCGTTTGATGATCATAATCAAAACTTTTGTGTTTGCTGTACGAAAAGTTTTGTTATATATCTATGTGTACAACGTCATGTTTATACTACTTCAATTGCTTTTTCCACTTTGTAATATTAAATGCAAAATTTCTGTTTATACACATATCTATCTTTAATATATTATATATTATATATATTATTTACGTGAGATTGAGATACTATTTAAGTATAAAAACTGAATTATTAAATAAATTGTTTATTATTCATTATATATATAACTCAAATAAAAACCAAACTTAACCAGTCTTTTACATATGCTACTGCATATATATTTTAATTTTATATATTTAGATAAAATAACGGCTAGAAATGAGTAAACGGTTTTTGTTCTTCTCTAGTATCAATTATTTTTTCATCATTTACTATATATCATAGATATCAGGGTATCGAAAAATCGAAAAAAATCGAAAAATAACGCACTACGTGATATCATTGTGAAACACAAATTTGAATATATACTGAACAAACTGGTGAATATTACATATGTATGTATACATGTATGTATGTATAAATAGTTTGTGTGTGTTTAATTTATTTCAAGCCTAAACAATTCGATTACCAAACCTGTTGACATTCTTTAGTAAGGAAGCAAGAGTATTCCTTCTATTATACAAACATACATAATAATCAAGACATACATTCCAATCACTCTTCTTGTATTCACTTTGTACATATACATAAATATGTCATTGCTATATTTAAATATTTAATTACTTCGTAGCCCGTTATATATTCGATTTACAGATTTCTGCTGTAATAATTTCTTTATGTCTAAAAAAGAATAAAATTGAAGATAATAAGACCAGTTACAACATATTAACAATGTAATATAATAGTATAATATGCATCATATATTTTAATCTTATTATCTTAAAACATTTTGTCTTACCTTCTATTTGTTCAGGTGTAAACTCAGTATCAGGGAATGCAATATCAAAGGTAACGTACAAATTTCCATAAAGATTGTTATTTTCATAGTTAGGCATTCCTTCATTTTTTTTCCGAATACGGGCACCAGGTTTAGTAATTTTATCCCTTTGAATGGTTACTTTATGACCATCTAAATGTGTTATATCCATTGTGAAACCTATGAGAGCATCTTGCAGAGATATCGTAACGTTTGTGTACAAATCCTCTCTTTTTCTTTCAAAAATAGCATGAGGCAAAGTTCGTATCCTATAGTAAACACAGTAAGAAATATATATAAAATTGCGTTAGATACTAATTGTGATGGGTAATGATGATAAAAAGTTATTTTTCTCACTTTAATATCAGATCTCCTGGTTCTCCATCAATATGTGGTTCTCCTTCTGCGGTAAACTTGATTTCTTGGCCATCTACCATTCCTGGTTCTACTTCTACATCTAATAAGCGTTCTTCATTTACAAACTTAACATTTGGGCATTCTGAACACACTGTTTGTTGCATCATTTGGTATCTACCACTTCCTAAATTGCGAGTAACTACTTCTTGCCTACAGTTACATTTTCTTGTCCCTTTTGCTGCTTTTATAACTGGTTTATTTCTTGTAATCTAAAGTATATAATAATACAAGTTAAAAAAAAACTAATATTAAAAATATATTTATCATAAGATAAGACATTATACCTCAATAAAATGACCACTATATAATTCTTCTAAAGTAACATACAAGTCCATTACAACATTTGAACCTCTAGCAGTGTCCTGTTCTTTATGTGACTCTCCACCAAAATGAAAATTAAAGTCACCAAAGATACTTTGGAAAGGATCAACATTATTATTCATCATGCTATCCTTTTTTAAACATTCCTCTCCACATCTATCATACATTGCTCTTTTGTCAGGATCTGACAGTATTTCATAAGCTGCTCCTAGATCTTGAAATTTTTGAGAGGCATCCGGATCATCCTTGTTCTTATCAGGATGCAATTCTTTTGCTAACTGTCTATAAGCTTTCTTTATTTCGTGTGTACTTGCACCACGTGACAAACCCAAGATATTATAAAAATCTCTCCTGTCAAAAAGTAACAAATATTAATTATAATAAAATAAAAATAGTTTTTGATAAAGCAGAAATTTTCAACTTTGACATAACCAAATAATTAACGCACTTTGTAGAATAAAAAATATAAATAATTTAAGAATTCTTTCTATTTATACCGTATATATTGTTATACAAAACAGTGTGATGGAAAGAAATTAAATTAATAACTTTAAGTGACAAAACTTGATAAAAAGACAAGGTATGTGATATCTTTTATTCTCTGAAAATTGTTTTTAAAAAATTATTCTGTACAATACTATAAAACAGAAGGCATAGTCTTCACTTACCCAGCTATTGATAACATAACATATGTCGTTAAATTAATGAAAAACACTTTTTTCAATTTTAACCCTGCCATTTCTGATGGACGTGATACAAACATTAGTATATCGTGGTCTGATCGTGGTACATCGTCAAAGCTTGAATCGTGGGCGCTCCTTATTGGTCGTTCAAGAAAGCGTTATTTAATTTCCATGAAGAACAATGTACTCTTAAGTCTCGTGTTCATGATACAAGAAATTTGTCCATGCTTTCGAATAATCTCTGTTGTTCTCAAGGAAATGACCAATATGTTGGTCAATTTGCTTTTAACTATAGAAGCATGAACTGTCACTTTTTAGCTGTAGCATCTGATAGGTTTCACTTGGCGCTCAAAGCGATCGCGAACGCAGACCGTGTCCACAATATCCAATCACATTGTTATGTGTTTAGCAAATCGACCAATACGACAGAAACATTGTAAATCCGACATACATCGCGATCGTTGCTATATATATATATATATATATATATATATGTATAATGACGTGTAAACTTAAAATGCCACATGTAAAGGTCACATCTAAAAACACGGAACGAAAGGAAAGTTTGGTAAGAAATGAACAAATCACATAAACGAGCAATTAGTTTCGATTTTAGCAACCTTTTTTAAAAGTACACATTTATAATAGAATGGCCGATCTCAGATAGGCTTCTTTCTGATGTCAATTTTTATTATACGATAAAAGCATTATGTGAAAACAGAAAAAGTTGGGATGATCACCTTGCGTGACGTCATTTTTAGGCGCTACCGTGACGTCATTCTCCGTTCAAGCGCCGCACAACTCTTTTTTCTCTCGCGCTATCCTTTTTTGAGGATAGAAACATCCAAATTAGAAACATCCAAGGAGATGTGTAATTTAAATTTTACTCTTTCGTCATTATAATAATGGTTTATTGTTGAAGTGACATAGTTATAATGATTCGTAACGTATTTAACTATAATGATAGGTCTTTTATATATATATATCTAATACAGTCGTGTTTATATATATATATATATATACACAGATTATACAATATTTACAGTAACTTAAGATTTCTCATACAAGCAATACATATTAGTATTAGTAGTGGACAATTTTATAGAGCATTTATGTCAGACCGATGTGTGGTTGTGTGTGTCTAATACATTTTATCTGTGTGTTCATAATGTTTTACTCGCACATGTAAAGTATTTATACGGCATACATATATGAGATGCGCGCGTCTCTTAAAACGCATCATCGATTATTACATTACGAAAGTTTTGGTAATACATTTAACATGTACACATCGACTGCGTTTGTCCGATGCCTTTTTTATTTTTTAAACACGCATATTTCATTCGCTATGTTTACTTGCTTTTGCTGTATGTTATCGACCATTTATTCGCGTCACATATTCAGTATTTACAATATAACTTCTTTGTCGCGCGAAAAGACGTCTTCTTTTCGTACTTTCTCAAGAAGAAGAAGATATTGCTACATCCTCCTCTCTCGTCGAGATATTTGTTAACATTATATGCACTAATTAATTTGTAAAATACAAATAGCGGACAATTTTTTCACTCTTAAAAGATCGTCTCACATCTAGGTTGTGGATTTTATTATAACGGAAAGAGAAAATGCACATGTATATTCTCTGTTGCGAGATTAAATGTTCGTAAAAAATCACTTGTACGGGATCGCGATAAAAGAATCATCAATCGTACAATTATAATTCTCTCTATTGACACTTTGTTAGTTTAAGGATCAAATAAACGTAATTATATACTGACAACGTTTTGTAAGTTCACATATCGAACTTGCACTTCTCTTCTCAACACGAGTAATTTACACATCGTAGCTATTAAAATCGCTCATGTACATCAAAGACGAATATTATTCGGTGATATATTTCTCGTTCTCTTTTTATGTTTATCTCACTTCTGTTTCAAACGTAAAAATATAATCTGATAAGTACAAAACGTCGATATGCTTCGATGCGCTAAGTTTAAACACTTTTTGTTCTTGGTCGAGTCAAGCTACTTGGACGACTACAAAATTCACAAATCTTTTTGGTATACATATTTTCCAATGAACGAACACACTGCGTACTAATGGCAAGTATTTATTAGCAATTTAGATTTTTGGCGGACACACGACATTTCTACAGAAAGCGGTACATTATATAAATGTTCGTTTCAAATTATGTTTTTGTTTCTATCTTTTTTTTCTTTCCTTTTTGGTAAAATCATGCATTGTTTTTTAATCAATGCTGAAGATTATCAATTATTTTTTTTTTTTTTTTTTTTTTTTTTGAACTCCTTAATATATTTTCTAATAAGAAATTAGATAAATTAGTTTATCAACGCGCGTACGCACGCGCGCGCAAAGAGAGTTATTGCAGATATGCATTTTAGTTGCTTTTATAAGTCGGTGTATGTGCACATGCAACGTCATAAATTTATTCCAAGTTACACATAAGTCGATTTTTTTTGTTAAAAAAAGAAGGAGAATATGTGTAATAGAGTTATTATGCGAGTATTAAATTTTGTATGTGCATATACAAGATTTTTGATTACGTAACAAAATTTCTTTTTACTTGATTAATATCGGTCGATATACACGTAAATTTTTCACAAATTTTTTCTTCTGTAAATTATTATAAAATGTGTTTAGATGTACTGTGATTCTATTCACGAAGGAAACTACTTCAAAGTGAAACAATTAGCACGCTACACAATATATAATAAATAATTATTTTTAACGACATAATATATAATAAATAATTCTTCAACAAGAATTACATTAATTATATAAATAACTTTCTTTTCACAGTAAAAATAAAGAAATATTTTTTTTGTAATAAAAATTTATCTGAACTTTTATTAATGCTTTATCGTTAGATCTTCAAAATATTTTGTTTACAAACTTCACAACATGTGAGTATTGTTTGGTAAGTTTTGATTAACTCTGCAAATACGGAGGACTTTTTAGAATTTTGATGAATTTATTAACAAGTCGAAATATTCATTTTTGTATTTGTTTATGTTCATGATGTAATATGCTGTTTTGTCTAGTTTTCTAAAAAAAATATTTGTTTCATTAAAACTTGATTTGTTAAACATTTGATATTACTCATGTAAATGAATTACTTCTTTATATCCCTTATAGAATGTACAGACGATAAATATCTGAATTGGAACTTCATGGAAAAAGTGTGAAACAGTAAATGAATCATAAATTAATACATGTTGTAAACGTATAATGTATACGTTTCATTGGCGATGCTTCGATCGTTCAGTAATAAATTGGTAATATGCATTGATATATAATACATGTTATTAATAATTATTCATACTGTTATATCAAGTTTCTATTGATTCTATTTGCAGTTAACAGCTGATTAAAAGAGTTACATACGCGCAATTAATAATGTAAAAAATGGCTCATTACGTATACATTACGTTATTCACCGTGTCAAATGTTGTTATAATATATCAATATATTTTACTTACATAGACATATATACTAAAAAAAAATCACAGATAAAGAGAATTCCTAATTAAATTTAAATTTCTTTATAAATTATTATTTTAAGTAATAATTATTAACTCTTTAAAATATATTAATCACATTCACATATTCAAAAAGAAAATATATATTAAAACATAGCCGAACATAGAGTCTCTCTCTCACATATACTCACAGAAATTAATAAAAATCTTTGACTCCAATTCACAAAAATGGAAAGATAGAATCAGAAACAACTCGACTTCTTGGAAGCTTTTGCAAGGTTTGACGTTTGACGTCACGATTACGATTGTTTTATAAAAATCAAATAATGTCATATATGATTGATATAAATACAACGGACGATGCACGACACATAAGTATTTACGACTACGTAAACATCGCCGATGACGTACATGAAGGATGGATATATCTAATTAGCAATAATATTAAGTGTTACTAACACATCATGTCGTACCATCTATATATGTCCATCCATGCCGTGCAAACGATAATAAAACTTCGGTATTATACCATATACAGAGTTTGTTTTTGTATTTCTACAAACTGTATGTCATAAATAAAATCACATATTCCACATAAAAATATCAAGTCGAAGAGAAGTTCTGTCTGATGAATAACAATCGACATATTTCGCACACTTGCATCTGCCACATGCGTCATTGATTAAAGTAATCGAATTTCAATTCGCAATTATTTCGGTTGTTATTCATCACATTCAAAACTTTTAAAGAATTTTTTTTTCTCGTTTCTTTTTTTGCAAATCATGTGATTTTGTTTATGACATTCTGTTTAGAAACACCATATACGTGTGTGTATGTATATATGTATGATGGATGTATGTATGTATATATATATATATATGTATATATAGTGTATGTGTGTGTATAATACAAGAAATATAAGTACATTGGTTTATAAATGATTGCAGGCTGCTCCTCTCATATCACAGCGAGGGGCGCTGCCGGGCCCGCCTCCTAAAAATTATAACTAACTTATTATTTTTCATATTCTTTTCGGTTTATAATTCTCTTTTTCTACTCACATAGCGACGGAAGCGATATATGAACAATCACACGCATGTATACAATTCGCACAATTCACGCTCTGTCGTACCGATTAGTTTACGTATGTGTATATATATATATATATATGTGTTTATGTGTGTTTGTATATATATATATATACACATAATTTATCTTTTGTATTTATAATATATATATACTTAATGTGTGTATATATATGTATATTTATATATATAGATATATATTTATATGACAATATGTATATATGTATATATATTTATATTGTTTAGCCTTAGAAACCCGAAGAAATGACCATCACTGTCGCAAACGGACGGTCGAAATATACTGGGAACACCGGTTAGTACGCGACGCCACGTGTCTTACGGCTCTAACATGCTACACTCGGTTTTTTCTTTTTGTTTTTTTTTTGTTTTTTTGTTTTATCGCGCGAGTCGAGCTCAGTCTAGGCGCCGCGCCTAGCTCGGAGGATTCCCTCAAATTCCGTACAAAAGATTCGACGTTGCGAATACATGAGGTTCGATCGCGACACACACGCTCACATACGTAACGCACAAAATTAACATTTACACAAATTGTCACAAGTGTCTCGTCATCATCGACCCGCATTTACTCGCGAATAACACCAAGTTTCACGGCTTGAATAAACGATGAGGGAGTAACGCGACCGAACCCCACGGAATCACAAGAGAGAAAGAGAGAGTTTTCAAATTTAGGTTGATATTATCAGTGTGTCTTACCTACGCGCGGAAAGCCGTCGACGGATCAATCAAATTCATCTATCGATACTCTTGTTTTACGCATTAAGACTAGTGCGATAATAGGAACATGATGTCTTCGTTTGCAGACACTATTGCCGGGATGAAAAAAAACGGGATGAGAAAGGCGAAGGGGAAGTGGGAAAATGAAGATATGTTGTTATACATACGTGAAAAAATGCCAAGTAACACTATTGACAACAACACTTGACGAGTGTGGATCATCTGATGCAAAGGATAACGCGATTGTCATCAGAGACCGTTTCAGTCTGAAAATTGTCCACCCTTGGACTGCACGGAAAAACACAAGGTATTAGGTCACAGGCATGCATCCTTCAAGTGAGGGTTTTTTCGTCACTCAGTGCTTCGTTGCAAACGACGTTTTTAATTGGAAACCGCTGTTTTCTCTCCTGACGATCTCGTCTCAAGCATGAATCAATACGTCGACGAGAAGCCTTCGCCAACTGGGACGGAGGAAGAAAATCGAGACTGCCCGCAGAGATAGATAGATAGATAAGGAGAGAAAGAGAGAGTGTATGTGTATGTGTGTGTGTGTGTATCTGTGTGTGTGCGAATGTATTAACCACGTTCACTTATGATTCTTCTTTGAATTATTCAGTCTGCCAAGTTCTCTTGAGATTGTGTATCGATTACGTAATCAGCCTCTTATGTATTCGGTGGAGATTTGACCACCGCGAATCAACCAGTTGCACTCGTTACGGCTAGGTAAAAAGATATGTATTTATCAAGCTTCACGCGGCTAATCCTTCTCCTCTTGTCGGTGGCGGTGGTAGCCGTGAAGTGGGCGGCGTGGCGTCGTTCTCGGTTCTGTTTGGTGTTTCCCGATCGAAGTGATGCTGAAGAACATCGCCGGTCCAGGAGGGCATGCTGGTAGAATTTTGATTACCGTTGTTGGACGATGGCGTGCCGGGTGAGTGCGAAGGCGACGGTGTCTGGAAGAGCATAGACCCCGAGGGAATCACAGGTTTGCCGTCCACCAATGGTCCGTTACTGCTCGGCGCCATCGGTTGTTTGTCCAGAGAAAAACCTCCACCGCCGGTTCCGTAAACCGAACCAAACAGATTCGCCGCGTACTTGCCCGCGCCTAAGGAATGAGGCGGTAATCCGTTGCTACTTTGAATCACCGAAATCTCGTTCAGCTGTAAGTAATGCACGCCGTCTGGTTAGGTTTATTCGGGAGCAATTACCTATAAAAATAGACGATAAACGTTAATCTCGTATGCGATTCCGTGAAATACCTTGGACTATAATCATAATACACGGTGCCGTTAACGATTGTATGCAATGATTATGTTAAAATCTCGTGATAAAACAAACTCTCCCATCACTATGTTGCAATATGTAAACTCATGTTTTTTTTTTTTTTTTTTTTTTTTTTTTTTTTTTTTTTTAGCAAAGTACATGCTTTGAAATTAAATTTTTTTGATTGAAGCAACATGTGGATATTTTTGTTTACCTTCTGCTGGACGCCGTTAAGGAATGGCGCGGGAAGATATGGATAAAAAAGATCCGGTCGTCGCTGCAGAAACTCCGAGTCCTTGGGGGTGATTGGCAGAGGAGGCAGATCCAACGACATCCTTCGACCTCGACGTGACGTTCCGTTGGTGAACATATGAGTGCCCATGTGCACCTGCGTTAGAAAACCGAGAGAAAAAACAAATCAAAATATGCATCTTCGATCGAGCGAGCGCTTATTTTTCATCGAGCTCTCGAGCGACTTCAAACGTTACGCGTTTTAGCATTAGTAGAAGCGATAGCTGCTAGCTGGTGTTAGTAAAAACTTTTGGCATTGGAAAACGTTGTGTAGAAGAGCGTAGACTTTCGACGGCGGTTTGGAGATCTGATTATATTATACCTTGAGATTGCCTTTGGTGGTGAACGCCTTCTGGCAGACGGTGCATCGAAATGGTTTATCGCCAGTGTGAGTTCTCATATGGATCTGGAGCGCCGAAGATGAGGAGAAATTCTTATTGCAAATCTGGCACAAGTGTTTGCTCGGTACGCCTGCAAATATACATAATAACGGTTTCGCTAAACTGCCCCTGGCTTTTTGCCACGAAGAAATTACATAGCGATGATGGTGATTTAATTTTATTAATTGCGTTTCGTAAAAAAAAGTCCCGGTCTTAGGCGTAGATCGTGAAAGTAAATAGAAAAAATGCGACATATATAAATATAGATCTCTCAGAGTGGCTTCTTGAAAGTCTCGGTTCGGTTAACAAAATAATACTCGCACGTGCAATAGCATCGGAAATGAAATATGATGCCGCTGTAATGTACAAGTAATTCAGCTCTACGTGAGTAAAAGAATAAAGAACAAAGAGAGTGTGCGTATAAAACCCGCCACCAACGATATTGAACACACAAAATAGAAACTCTGAAGCAAAAAACAGAAACTGAATGATAAACGGGAAGTATCAGGAAGACTAAGAAAGCTTGCAAAAAGCAGCAGCGTCAAATATTCTAAATTACGATCTTAGGTAGCGTAAGAAGCCGCTAAAAATTGCCGAAAACCACGCGTCAGCGAAGCTAAGCTCAAATAATGGCGCTCGATGAAGAAGCAAATTGAATTTTTTTTCTTTCTTTAAGAAAGCGAGTGTGAACAAGTGTACTTACTGGCTGGTCTTTTTGGTGCTGGCAGATCTCCTTCCGGCGGAGATCTCTTTATTGGTATCGCAGACTCGATGGATGTCGGTGGTAATGGTGGAGGTGGCGGCGGCGGTGGTGGCGGCGGTGGAGGCGGTAGACTTGAATCGTCGGTGCACATCGGGCTTCTGGAAGTTTCGTGATCCTGAGATTGCTGCTGTTGTTGCTGTTGCTGCTGTTGTTGTTGCTGTTGTTGCTGCTGCTGCTGCTGCTGCTGATGCTTGGCGTCATTGAACAGATGCGGCGGCATATCGCGAATCTTGTGAGTCAACATATGTTGCTTCATATTGCCCTGTGCATTGAAACACGTTCTTTTGTATTTTAATTTAGTAATATTTACTAATTATTAGTTTTTGATTGAGTATAATATTTTACATAATATTTTGTTTGTTATATTGTGTATACGCATTATAATATTTGGTATTTAATCCTATGGTTATACGGGAGGGGAGAAAATTCAAGTCAATTGCAAAGTAGACAAGTGGACGGTACTTATAATGTATTAACGTGTTACAACGTGTTCTTGGGTAAGAAAGTTGTAACATGTTTTTATTTTTTTTTTTTTATAAGTAATGTTCGCTTTGCAATCGACTACAGCTAGTAGAATTCACAGCGACCAATAGAAGAAACACAGCACCGTTATTGGTCGTAAATATTTGTAAGTAGACAAGTTTTTGTTTGTGGCGAGATCACGGAAGAAACGCGTATTACGCTTGCTGTTTTAGCAGGCTCTTACCAGAAAGACGTGGTCCGAGGGTAGAAGTCCGAGGGCGGGTGGCATCAGCGGGGGCAGGCGGACGGCAGGATAAACAGACGTCAGCCTTCGACCCCCTCCTGTTCCTGTCCGCCCCCGGTTCTTCCGCTCCTCAGGCCGCCGCCGCCTGCGTTTCGGTTTCTCGCGATTTCCGTCGGTTGATCTCGCCGGGAACGGGCGATATTGGGAAATGGATTGTGGAGGGATCGGACCCTTCGCGGCGAAGGGTTGGTCCGCGCAGGAACATACTTGCTGACCAGAATCGTCGTTCTGAAAGTATAGCAGAACAACGAGAAGAATATAAAAGTAACAATAAAGTGTAATATAAACTGTATCAAACTTATCGTATCGAGCTTATTGTTAAATATACAAATCATTGTATACAAAATATTAAGATATTTTTACAGACAATAACCACGTGTTTTGTATATATACAACATTTATATCAAAATTTTGCGTGTATATCAAAGTGCTCCATTACTCGAATTTTACGTGGATATCAAAGTACTCCATTACTCGAACGATTGTAAAAAAGAATATTTCTGCAAAATGTAATAAGATATATCAACGAGCAATATCGAGATTTGATTAAATACATTACAATTACGGATTTTTATCACGACATTTAAATGCATCTTGTATAAATTGCAGATAGCGTGATAAAATACTGTGATAAGTGAGAGGGAAGAGAAAGACCGCTGTATCGCTATATGTATACGTTTTCGAGATAAAGCAGATTTAATTACCTTCGTGGAAAAACCTCGGTCACATATGCTGCATTTGAAAGGTCGCTCCTTCGTATGACTCCGATAATGAATCTCCAACGCAGATTGGCACGCGAATGTCTTGTAGCAGAATTTACATGTAGTGTTTCCACGTACTGTAACAAATCATTATTCTTTACAATTTTTGGCTCTGTCCTTCACGTACGTATATAATTTAAATGAATTAGTTTTGTTTGAAAATATTTTTCAATATTGTTAATGCTTTTATTATGTTTTTTTTTAATTTATCGAGATTTATTGTACACAATTTTTAACATTTTCTCTAATATACATACAATGTATGTATATTTGTTAAAATTATTATTATTATTAGTTTCTTTTTTCCAAATTATATACATTGCAATTTTATTTCGGTATGTGTGTACACACATACACACACAGTAAAATTATAATGTATATAATTTGGAAAAAAGCTAATAATAATAATAATTTTAACAAGTATTGATAAAATTATGTCAAAAACTTTAACTAAAATGAAGCATAATAGAGAAAAAGAGAAAGAGAGAGAGAAGGAAAAGAGAAAAAAAAAGAAAAAAAGAATGGGGGATGAAATATATGAATAAAAATATAAATTATAAATACATAAAAATATTTATTTCTTAGTATGGCACATATGAATATATAAAACCTATCACGCAAACACAATATATATATATATGTTATTATTGGTTTACTAAAGCCAATACAAAATTATCACTCTAACTTCATTTATAAAAATTACACGAAAGAAGTAAATAAATTGTATGAAATTGTAGTTTAGCTAGTGCTGATTAAGTTTTGAATATAATGTTTAAGAGAAAGTTTGGTAAAACAATATATCCGATAATGACAATAATTACATAACATAAAAAACATAAGATTTTTCCGCAACCAACAATAAAACCATTACAAAATGATTTTAAGTACATACAATTGAGAAAAAAGAACTACATCTAAAAATAAATGAAAGTTGTTTGTATAAGATGTTTTATTTTCGAAAAGATATTTTGAAAAAGTAGAAAATATATTAGTAAAATATTAGTTCTTTTTATGATATTGAATTTTAATCTTGTCTCTCAAATGTCCTGAATATTTCAATTTTCAGATATATTCTTTTCGAAAATAATACTTAGCATATACACATTTCTGCATATACTATCTATTTTTGCAAGCAGAATTACTGTTTTTTTTCTACATATATTATCTACGATATAAAAAAAAAGACTAATTACGCTAGCTACAAAATAAATAAATAATAAGAAATTATTTTCTAACCATGAGTAAATACATGTATACGCACTATCTCTCTAAACTTTTGTGTTTAAAGAGATAAGTACAATACTATGTTTAAAATAAATAAAATTCAAGTTTAAAAACCCAAAAATATATATATCTCATAGTAATTGATTATCTTAATTTTCCGCATATTTTACGTTATACACAAACATTGCAGTACGCATTATTTTTAAATTTTGAGTTTTTGTAGATAACCATGTATTACTATAAATTGCATATATTTACATTTAATATATACATGAAATATATTATAATATTTGTGTATATATGTGTACGTTTACAAATACAAATATAAAGTAAATATATATACACAATATATAACATTTTATATGCATGAATTAATACAAGCGCATAATATTTGTGTATAAATATATGTACACACAAATATTTTACTTTATATGTATTAATAATACATACATATACTGTTACGTGATAAGAATAATGCTTATTAATTACATATTTCAACAATATTTACATATTTTATAATAATATAATAATAATAATAATAATTAGATCAATTTGTGTGTGATTAAATTTCCAGAAAGTAGTTTTACAATATCAGTTTTTCCAATTAGTCCAATTTACAATTCGTCTTTATTGAATCTTACCCAATAAGTGCGTCTAAATTATGATTTTGCAGAATGATTACAATTTTTTTTTTCCGGAAAGCTCAAGAAGAAAGTAGAATAAATATTCGTCTCCTATTCGTAAGTCCAAGTCTTCATTATCTTCTTAATAATATAAAAGTAAAGCATAAAAAAAAAAAATTAAATTATTATGCCGGTCTACATGTGTAATACACCTGAAAGATATTCTACATTAAAATAAATGTTTTCACAAAAAGAGTATACAAATACAATAAATAAGAAAGTTTATTGCAGAACTACAAGAAATGAAGAATCAAAAAAATAGAAAAACTCAAAAAAGCTACAAAAAATATAGATACATATAAAATAAATAAATAAATAAATAAATAAACAAATTTATATATATATATATATAAATATATATAAAGTGCTTCAGAAAGAGAAAGAAAGATAAAGAACGGAGAGAAGAAAAAGGAAGATAAAGAAAAAAAAGGATGAGTAAAGAGATGATCAAAAATATAAAGTCCTATATAATTCTCGAAGAAAAGGAGTGCTAAAGTCCGGCTACACCATAAACAGGACGTCAACATGAGGCTGGATAAGGTTGAAGATATGACACGGAGTAAGGAGATATCCAGCAAAGTTTTGATGACTCTTTAAGAATCATGATTGCTCGGAATAAGGAAAAGGTGTAGCAGGAACTACAGCTCATCTCTTGATGTGCAGCGCCTACCTGCTGGCCCTCCAACAGCCAGACCGAGCGGATTGTAAGTCGATGATGCGGCTAGTACTGCTGAAGTGGTAAGTGAAGCCAGCGGACCGCTGCTAGGCCCGTTTCCAGGATTGATGGTGTTCATTGACGTAACGCTGTTTATATTCGACGATCCAATCGTGCTGGTGGTAGGAGCAGAAGATACCGCTTGCAGTAATCCCGCAAACATGCCGAAGGGATGTGGATGATGCGGCACGGTTTGAGGTGGCGGTGTCGGTGGCGTTGAAGCCACTGATGCTGGTGTAGACGAAGCACGGGGTGTTAAATCGAGCGGGGTGCCGGAAATTGGCGGACTGTTGCTTTTCTCGCTACCGTTGTATCGATGAAAGGACGCCGACTCAGATACGTTTGCCATCGTAGTCGCAGCCGTCGTCGAGATGGTTCTAACTTGGTTTTCCAAGGCCCCTAATGACGTTGAAAACATAGGAAGTGTCACATCTTTGTGTTCAGTCTCTTCATTTTCGTGATCTTCTTCCTCTTCACTACGTCTGTCGCGATCTCTCTCTTCGTCCACTCTGTGATCTTGTTCCTCATCTTCTTGATCCTCTGTTTCCTCGTTGAGATCCTCCACAAATCTCTGCCTATGTTGCTGCGATTCTTCTTTCATTTCCATGTCAATCTCATGCGATTGTTGTTCAATAGTTGGTTGCCTGGATGAAGGAAATCCTAAGGGAAAGCCTGCTCCAGTTGGATGTATCGGAAACCCTGGTGGCAAGAAAGACGCCAACGGATGAGGAGGATAACCAGGTGGAAATTCATTTACTTCCGCAGCTTGAATTTGTTCCGGACTGAGATCAGTAGGTTCCCCAGTATGAAGACGTATATGTTGTTGAAGTACAAGAGTATTCGCGAATTTCTTGTGACACACAGGACATTGATGTAATACCCGCAGTGGAGGCTTCGCTCTGTGCACTCCCATGTGAGTCTTCAAATTGCCCTTGGTGGTAAAGGCACGACCACAAATCTTACACTTAAAAGGACGTTCACCCGTGTGAGTGCGATAATGCATCAATAATGCGCTTTTGCAAGAAAGTACTCTGTGACAAACAATGCACTGATTAGGATCGCTCAACTTGTGTTCGATATTGTCAACCAGCTGCTGCAGCTTAGATGTCTCTGAAGTTTTTGTTATTTCAATCAGACTTTCCCAAGAATTGTCATTGCTACCTGGTCGAGGTAGCAAACTTGAATAGATTGCCGGATCTTTAGCTGGATCGATCATCTCATTTGTAGAAACAGCCGACGTCGATCCAGTAGTCGAAACAGAAGGAAGGTGAGGTATTTGATGAGCCGGAGTACCTGCAAACAGAATTCCGGCGAAAGACGTCTGAAGACTACCGCTACTCGCACTACTGCTGGCAGGAGATGCTCCTGGATACGCCACAATTTGTTGAGGTAAGCGACTGATCGTACCCCTGCTAGAAAGATTCTCCGGTTGTTCTTCCATTTCCTCGTCTGGTTCCATCTCTCCATCGCCTTCTAAACGTCCACTGATCTTACTGTCTATACTACAGTCTTCGTACGTTTGCGGTTGAGACGACGGATTTACTGAGGATTGAGGTGAACCGAGAAATCGCCTTGTTTGTTCCTCGAAGTCTTCGCTTTCTTCTTCCACAGGTTCTTCCGTTTCCTCAGGTTCTTTCTTCGGAGTTATTCGTTCAGCATTCTCTTGGCTCATCGGTCGTTGCTGGTACTGCTCCTGCTCGGGCGATCTCTGTTCATGTTTGATTTCTTCTCTTTGCTCGAGCTGCTTTTGCTGTTGTTGATGATTGTCGTGAAAGGAATGACGAGAATTTATAGTGACAGGGGAAGAAGGAGACGTCAAAGGGGCAGCTGTTACAGGTAATTGTTTACTAAGATTTTCCGGTATATCCTGATCGTCCCGATGATTAACAAGTGGGGATCGATAAAGAGGAGGCATACTGGGGGGCATGGTGAGGCTCAGTGGTAAGTGTGGTTGAGGCGGTAGGAAACTATGTGCTGCTGTCGGATGAAATGTGGGATGATGTGAGGAAGGTGGCGGCGGTGGCGGCGGCGGCGGAGACGGTCTATGCCCAGAAGCAATTTGCTGTAAAAGGGGCGGATGATATTTGTCTAGATGTTCTGGAACAGGATTTGGATTCATCTTTACGTGTGGAAACTTGGCCGTATGTCTCTGGAAGTGAACCTTCAGATTGCCCTTGGTGGTAAACCGGCTGCCGCAGACGTTGCACTTATAGGGTCGCTCACCTGTGTGGGATCGTATGTGGATTTGTAGCGCTGAGTCGCTACCGAAGACCTTGCCGCAGAAGCGGCATCGATGCTTGAAGAAAGGCTCGTTGCGGCTGCCGCTCGATTTCGAGTCGAAAGGAGAGAGTCGCGAACCCTTGCCGCTTCTGAACGCGAGCTCGTCAGCCAGATTGTTGGCCAGGAGACCTTGACTCGCGTTGTCCAATACTTCCTGGGCACGTTTTTGAAGCATCTCTAGAGTATTTGGCTCGTTGAGTGGCGGCGGATCGGTGTTTGTTATGATCGATGAGGCGAGGGAAGAACTTATGGAACAAAGTGGCATTTGATGCGAGAGCGGAACCTGACTACTAGTAGTCGTGACAGTCGTCGTGGCAGTGGTACTAGACGAAGGCAGGGGTAAATTCAAAGGAGAAGCGCTACTCGTGGAGGTTGACTGTTCTTGTGGCAAATTTGGCGTCAGCGGTGTTGGTGATGTCTGCTGATGATGACTCGGCGGCCGGGAAGAAGGAGGTGATGTAAGACTCGATAATGGTTTTGGTTGAATAATAGGTGATGAAATTTCTTTCGTATCTGGTGATTCCGTCGACGATGGCTGCGCTGATTGGCTGTGAGTGATAGACAGCTGTTGCTGAAGTTGGCTGATTAACTGTAATTGGAATACTTGTTGATGCTGTAAGGTGTACAGTGTACTATGCAGAAGTGCCAAATCTTGCAGCGCTGCTTCACTGTCGGTCCCGGCGAGAGCGGTGGCGGCAAACTGCGCAACTGCCACTTTCGTGTTTTGAAGAGCTTCGAGAGTGACGTGATTAGTTCCGGCGGGTGGGAATATCGCGGGAGGTGGACCGCTCTGGACAAAGTTATTGTTGTTTTCTGCGTCTTGTTTATGCCGAATATGTGAGGAAACCTCCTCGTCTTCATCCTGCTCATCCTGTTCGTCCACGCCTTCTTCTTCGTCCTCTTCCAGGGGCTCGTCAGCATCTTTGTCATCTTCATCGCTTTGATGAGATCTCGTCGCCGTGAGATCCACAGCCTCTTCACCACCTGCTCCTCCACCGCCACTCTCTTCGCCGTCCGTAAAATCATTTTCTTCTCTTCCTGCAACACAAAACGATAAAACTTCATCAATTATAAAGTCATTTTTTTCGATACTATAATAGACGATATTACTTCAAAAACATCGATAATGTGTCTTTAATAGATTTCTCGTGTATTTCGTCTAATGTAACAAATGTATGTTTCTCACATTACGCGCGAATATATGTACACACGTTAATAGTGACATTAAAATAAGAGCGTATATTATTCATATGCAAATTTCTAAAAATTTATTTAATGGATCCTGATTAATCAATTGCATCCTGATTGCTACTAATAACAAAGTTTTTGGAAAAGGGAAAGGGATGTTGTTGAATGTTTAACGTGCCTTTAGTCTCAATTGAGTTGACACTGTCTCTAAATAAATAAAAAAAAGTTGTTAAATCTATTCTAAGATTACTTACACGTTATCAACGATCTATTAAGTTCTCTCGTGGTTTTAAAAAAAAAGTTGAAAACTCAATTTACTAACCTGATAAATACTTTATATAACTATAATTTTGAACGCAATCTATCCCTCCATCGTCAAATATTGCTAGCTCGTTATTTCTGTTATTGATAATTTGTCCTTTTTTCTTTTTATTCCTTTCTATTAAGCAACAAAAAGAAGAGTGATAGATATATTAAAAGTTAAAAAATATAAAAAAAATATTAAATTTGAATATAAGTATAGAATTGATAAAATAACAATTAAGTTAGAGACGAATAATAGTTTGCAGTTTCAAACATGTCTTAAGTTCCTTTTTTATCACTCACATAAATGGTGATATTATCTCACACAAAATTACAAAATAGAAAAAAATATTTTTTGAAAAAATTATTGTTTCTATTAAAACCTCTTTCCGTTTAAAGTATTTCTTGCCTTGTATGCGACTTTTTTCTAATTTTAAATAATTAAAAAAGTTTTCGTAGGTGTAAAATAAATTGAAAAGATTTAAAATAAAAAATGTTTAGTTAACCAGAATAGTCAACTCTAACTTTTTATTAAGAAGTTAACAATGTTTTTAATTACTACAAAATGTAAACTAAATATATTTATCACACTACTTTGTAATTGCCTGCATAAATAACTTTTTCGTGTGGCCCACTTTAGTTTTAGCGGAGAAAGTATATCCCACTTTATAGTCTTCAATTCTTGCAAATCATTTTTCATTCTTGTCAGTTTGTGACACTATCAATAAACATACAATCAACATTTGTTTTAAAATTAAATATTAACACGTATATACGATATACGTGAAGGTATCACAGTTATAAATAATAATCACAGAAAACGCGAAAAAATATACGACGCGTAATTCCAGTAGGAATTTGAAAAAGTTTTTATTTTGCAATTGCACAATATATTGAGAAAAATTGTTTAGCGAATCTGATTAAATTACTAGGCCGATTATGCGTACTACTGATACATTCACGTAACGCTTTTTCTTTTCTCAGACTTAGTACGATTCTACACTGCTTGATGAATGCACGCGTGCTACTCTCGTCTTTCCACACTTGTACTATCCTGCGAAAAACCAAACTGAACTCCAGGCAAAGAATCAGTTCGGAAACGAAAGTACGATGAAACTACAGTCCAAGCCCAGGTTTCCCTCCCCTCTACTCCTAACGGCGCCGGCGGCTTTCTCTGTGTCCCACCACTCTGGGATATGCCAGAGTAAACTTCCACCACTACCGTCATCCTGCACCACGGTTATGACATGGAAGGCGGCGCGCTTCATAAATCAGGGGGAAAGGGGCGGCGCTTGCACGAGCCACTCACCGCCGAGTTATTAATTATTATCCAACGGCGTTGCGATAGCCTGTCGCCGTCTAGCTCGGTGTGTACCCTGGTATTACATTACCACCTCCATCATTTAACCCTCCAGATGTTCCACCAGCGAAATTTCGGATCCGATTTTGTTGCGTTGCTGCGCCAATAGAGTTTCAAACCATAGCCCCGCGCAATGGATATACGGTGTGATTACGACGATTAATCGCGCTCGCGAGTATCGGCTGATTGCGCTTCCGTATAACTTCGAACGATAACGCGCACGAATTAGACGCGATAACCGATGGTCGTTGATTTTCCGCGATTGGAAAAACCTGTGATGTTACAATACATGCAGACATCACAGGTCTCATCGTTTTTTTCCTAACTTACATAATAGATTAAACTCTGTATTAAACTATTTATTATTTTTAACTATAATATTTTAAAACATTATTCTATATTTAAAAAGCGCACATGAAGCAGAATTGCTTGTAATGCGTATTAGCCGCTTACATTATATCTTTTTTCAATTTTTTTCTTATTATTGAACATATATGAACAACACCTCTCGTGATAAAAATATAAAATGTAAAGTGTATAGTTGATTATACATATATACATATGCATGTTTGTTCAACAGAAACGATCTTTTTATTTTATTTAAAGGAGCACACTATGATACAGAAACTGAAGAAAAAACTACTTCTAGAAAAAACTAGACTTCCAAAAATTATTAATAAATTTAACGCACATCACCAAAAGTGAAATGTTTATTTATTTAAGAAACAAAACTATGTGCAAAATTGTGAATTATAAGTTTTAAAAATTATGAGAGCAACAATATTGGAAGCTAATAATAATAAATCATGTATCATGTACCATTGTTGCGTCATATTGCTTGAAAGTTATAGAAACATGGTTTTTTAAGAACCTTTGTCACAAATATGAATTTGTGTCAATATGATATCTATATTTCTTTTCTTCAAGCAAACAAAAAACTCAATAAATTAGAAATTTTCTATTGAGTAGCATTGGTTCCATCCGTTTGACTCCTATAGAGTTATGCATTGACCAGACCATTTTTACTACATTGACACACGTATACATATTATATATATATATACATATATATATGGACGTTTTTTCCGTATAAATCAAAAAAATAAATTTAAATAGCACACACAAAATCCCTTGTTAAGAACTAAGGACACCTTATTATAATATAAAAAATAGTTCGGAAGACATATGTCAACTCTATAGTATACAAAAATTCTTAAAGAACATCAAAATTCTTAAAGGAATTGTTACAGAAAAAGAACTTTATTATGATTGTACCGACAAACGTGATGTGAAATTTTTAATAGCTTTAGGTGCCATCTTTCCGTGACAGGTCAAAGTAATGTGTCGGTTGCGTCATAAAAAGAGGATGACAGTTTCTTCCAAAAATTCTTCTGATTTATTGATTTTTTTCTGAATGAATAATAGACAAAATTGGGCTTCAAAAATTCACACGAAGTATCAGAAAAACCAGTATGCTGCTTATGCTCAATATATTGCTAAAATTTTAACAATCTAACACCAAGTGTCGTACACAACTGTCTCTTACAAAAGATTAAGATTTAAATTTGATGTAAAAAATTTTAAAAAATTTTAGATTATGAATCTAACTTTTACAAAAGACTTATTTCCGAAACTATACATATTAAAAAGAACAGACTCTAGGTTTAAATTTATTTAATGACACAGACTTACTTGACCATTCTTATTTTACTTTTAATTTACTTGACAAACTAAAATCATCCGAATTTTAAACTTAACTGACTTATTCGTTTTACTATGTTGGTGGGGATTTCTGTATATATAATCTGTTGCCTCTTTCCTCTGTTCAGTATATGATCTTCGACTTCTGATTTGTGAGTTTATATCATAACGTTTTATATTGTTATTGTGAAATTTGTGCGGACTTTTTACTTACATTAATTTTTTCAGGAAGTCCAATATTACATCAAAATGGACTGTCATATGTAAGATTTATATATTTGTTACATCATTTTGTTATCCTCTCTGCGATATGGCGTTATTTTGTTTTTTATACTGAAGAGGGCTTAAGTAAGGGCCGAAACGTCTAATTTAATTACATTTATGTAAATTTTATATCTTATATTTTATTTTAATAAACTACAAGATCCTTTTTGTTGCTCGACAGAGACCGATATTTCAAGTATTATTTATTGTTAAATTTGATGTATTTTATTTTTTATAATTGTTGTTGTCGATCTCCTTATTATATCACTTACGTTGATAATAATAAGAAAATATTATAATATATTATATTGTTATCGTCGAGATAACACCGTTCTTGCGAAAAAAAAGCATAGATTTAATAGAGATAGGAATAGGACAACGGATCAAGTACAGAGACATTTATAGAATCTTTGAAAAATGTACTCAGGCTATTTTGTCTAAACTTGTTAGTTTTTGTTACGTTTCTCGACGATATACGATCACTGTTGCACTCAAGACCACCCCTTGTGCGATCTAGGCGAGTCAAATGCAAAAGGCTATAATTCTCGAATTCTTTGCTCTTGCTCAAATTCTTTCACATAAAACAGCGACCTGTGACAAATAACTATCGCATCCATAAAAAAAACATATGTGTTACATTTGCGACAATGTTTACGATAGATGAGCAACAAAAAAAGCGCTTGGTGCAAGTCAAAAGTAGATATTGTTGATATATTAAATATGAAAAAAAAATATATGTATATATACACACACAGCAGAAAAACAGATATGAAGAGACAAATATTGCTTGTGTTATTTTTTCAGTTATTGTTATGTGAGTATATGAAAAGTATTTATCATATCGATAAGAAAATACAATATATGGCTCTGCTGTGTTTACACTGTTTAACCGGTTCCGATCTTGTCCAAAGGGTGCATTATACACTCCAAATCCGGATTGGCGTTTGCGATGAAAGCTACGGATCATGTGTCGCTCGGATTAAAGGAATTCCTTTACCTGCGAGTGTCTCGTGCGAAGTGCAAGGTCGGGACTGTCGAGCAAAGGAGGTCGGTCGATAAGAGCCACCGACTGAAGAATCAGCAACGGTCGTTGCTCTTCTCTCGGTTTTGAGTATATAGAGCTGGTAGCGAGTCACCACGTCGAATCACAATCGGTACCGAATACGAAGAAGATCCTGTGACGGGGTCGCGAGACTCGTTTAAATAAGTTAACAGCGGCGAG